CCAAATCTGAAAGCTTCCAGGTTTTCCCCACCTACTTGAAAGTTCAAGATCTTTCCCCCACACCCACAAGACCATCACATGGTCCAATTTCCCACTGCCACACTGGCATTTCCACCCATCTAGTTCCTGTCAGGTGCAGAGGTGCGGAGATAAAGAATGACCTTGAGCTTCTAGAAAGCTGGTGCTCCTAATAAAGGGGATGTTTCATTAACTACAAAGGGCTTATCATGTTTGGGAACTGGGAGGGGTGAAATTCATTTTTTTTACTACCGGTTCTGTGGGCGTGGCTTTGTGGGCGTGGCAGGGGGAGGATACTGCAAAATCTCCATTACCTCCCCACTCCAGCGGAAAGATATTACAAAATCCCCATTCCCTCCCCACTCTGAGGCCAGCCAGAGGTGGCATTTGCCGGTTCTCCAAACTACTCAAAATTTCCACTACCGGTTCTCCAGAACATGTCAGAACCTGCTGGATTTCACTCCTGGAACCAGGTCAGAACAAGTTCATTTAATGGCCATTGAAATGTGTGTGCCTTTGAGTCACTGTGGTCTCCTGAACAGGTCCTTACAGGTTCTTTTGGGCAAGATTTTGAGAATGGTTTGCCATTGGCGGCTTCCTAGGGCTGAGAGAGAGTGACTGGCCCAAAGTCACCCAGCTGGCTTTCGGGCACCAGAAAAGGCTACAACTCAGGCTACAACTCAGTATCTGGCCCAAGGCCTTAGCCACAACACCAGAACGACTCTCAACAAAGATTTAACATGTTATCATTAATCCAAATGCTACATGAAACCTATACCTCTTGTCTAGTTAAAGTTATTTTATATTCCGTAATTAAAAGCCTGAACACATCCGAATATGTTACCAAGTGAGCTGCCTGGAGCTGTCCAGGAGTCAAGACTGACTGGAAGGCTTAAAAAGACCATGATGCTACAAAGTGTATCTAATCTTTTTTAAAGCTTCAAAATGTCCAGTGAGAAAATGATAGTAAACTATATTTGGGTTTGCTGAAACACTATCCCAAGAAAATATAAACTGAGATTTGAAAGAGACACCTATAACAATAGGAAAAAAAAGGGAGAGAGGAAGAGGAGGGAAGGAAGGAAGAGGTAAGGAGAGGAGGGTAGAAGGGAGAGAAAGAGAAGGCGAGAGGGTAGGAAGGGGATGGGGAAGAGGAAGAATAGGAGTAGGGGAGAGATAAGGGAAGAAGAAGGAAGGGGAAGGAGAGGAGGAAGAAAGGAAGTAGAGAAGGGAGGGAGGGAGAAAAAAAAGAGAAAATAAGGTGATGTTAAAACAGGCAGAAGGGATGGTAAATAAAGCAACCCAAATTTATATTATCAACTTTTAAATGGAATAACATATGAATGATAAATGTAAAGAAGAAGAATTATGTAAATATATACCTATAATTATATGTAAGAGAATAAAAAATAAAAAACTTCAAAAAAATGTTCAGTGAGAGAAAAACCACTCAGTACTTTTGCTTTGCTCCCAATTTCTTAGGGCTACTACTTATTACTTAGCTGACCGTCGTTATGACATGTTGCCTGCCATCTTGAGTGCCAATTTATGCTCTCTTCTTGGGAACGTGGACAGGTGAGTTTTAAGCCTTATCAGCTCCTTGTGTTGGAGAAGTTAAGCTAACACACCCCCCCCACCCCCTTAGTACACCTTTTCACCAACACTAACTCTGGTAGGAGCTATGATTCTAAATATAAA